TATAGGGTCTGATTTGCATCCCTAAATGTCCAAAAGACATATCCTTAATGATGTGTCTCTACTAATAGGCCTATTTGAAAGTACCAAATTATGTTAAGTAAAAACTTGAAGGATTATTTTTTTTCTAGGACAATGCAATTTACTCCTTCAGGAAAAAACTATTTATTGTGTTTAGAAAATGTGCCCCAGAAGAGGAAATTCTACCTTCCCTATTAATATAAGGTTTTATCAAACTTTTGGAAAAAGATTTCGCTACCTTCTATCTGGAAGAAAATACATTTTTACATAGGGATTCCTGGGGCGCCCATCTACTCTAGAGGGTAGATCTGTTGCTTGTAGAACATTTACAATCAGCTGATGTCCCACTTTATCATACCACAGCTTCACCTAAGAACAACACAGAAAGGAACTATTATTTATAAGCATTATGACATGATATGATCTTTAAATACGATTTTAGAACTGCATTCAAGGGATGACATTAAAATAGAGCTGCAGATATTACTTCCACAAAAGAGTGATTTGAAACTATAACAGCTGAGAAGTTTTTTCTCTTTAATATACATTTTATGCATAACTCATAATTGGCAAACCTGCAGTATTTACATCTTAAGGTATGGAAATATAACTAATATTATTTTTTAAATTCAGGAAATTTTGAAATCATGATGTTATTATCAAACATAAAAGTTGGTAACAATAAATGCCTTCATTTCAGGTGGTTGAAAGTAATTTCTCATGCTGTAAGTAGTTGAAATTGGAGTTTATTAGGATACAAAAGGTAGAAAGAGGTCAAGATGGATATTTACCATAGGCTCACGTTACATCAGGCGTTGCTGTTTCCTGACATTATCCTCACATAATTTTAATGACTAAATTGTAGTAAGCCAATTATTATGAAAGAGAGTGAAAACAAAGGAAGACAATATACAAATGATCCCTTCAAACTATATGAAGGCAGAATGATATTTCTGATAAAGTTTTCAGGCAAAAGCCAGAGAAACAACATCCTGACCCACAGTTCAGACCTTAGCATGTGGTACTGCATCTGTGCTGGCAACATTAACTTCAATTTCTTCCTTGAATCTAGAAGTTACTTTTGATTGTCTGATTGAATAATAAATATACTTGATTAATGGGTGTGTGTGAGAACATATTAAGAGTCATAATAACAAAATAAGCTAATTTATATGGGGTTGCTTTCTCTTAGTAAGGAGAAGAGTGGATATTTGGATCTATCTGAATCCTAATCTTTGTTTTTCCATTAACACTAGAGATGTATTTTTTTATAAAACCAAAATGGCTTTAACACCTTTTAGCAGTATAGGCAAAGAATCTCAGAGAATCACATATAAATACTGGGAAAAAATATGCCCAGGTGGGTAAACAAAACAGGGTAACAAATATATTTCATATAGTAAAAGTAGTTTAAATAAAAAAATTACTTGCAAAAAACAGAGTTTACTCTTTTTAGGTTATCAAATGAGAGAGTAAAAAAGATCAACTATAGAAATGCACATATCATATCACTATATAGAAAAATCTCAACTATCTGTGGAACAATTTGAAGCAAGCTTTATTTTAGTTATTAACACAAATATATATCTCTCTGCTTTAATCTGTGAGCTCTTCATAATTGTTACCCAGTTTCTTTACTCTTATGTTCCCCAGATAAGACAATAATCCCACAATGAGACAAATGGCAGTTTTTCCTAAGTATTGCCTCTGCTACAGAGTCACAAAGTCCAAGAAGCTAATGAGATTCTTTTATATTTATTTCTCAAACTCCAGGCTCATAAAGTAGTTAAGCAAATTAAATATGACTTTCCAGGACAAGTGAATATGTATTTATCCAGGATACATTTATGTAACCATCCCCAAATAATGCATGTTCTCAAAATGCTACCATTTGTCAGTTAATGTGTAGAGTTCCTGGAAAATTCCACCCATTCAATAAATATTTCTATGTATATATATTAATAAAAGAATAGCTGAAGAAATGCATAAAATACTGAGGAAGTAGATGGTGATAAATGAGTAGGTATTTAGTGCTGCTTTCAGGAAAGCCATACATCTTTTAAAGATACACTCAATCAGAGTACAAATCCTAATGTTCTTCAATATGTAAAAAAAATACATACAGAAAGTTGCCCTGGTAAGACTTGTGGGGCATCTTTTAGAGCTCCAGGACTGGTTGGAGAAATAATAGAAATGGAAGGCCTTTCCATCTTCTGAGATTCAAAGGAGCTTGAACCTAAAATGAGTGAGGAAAAAAAAAAAGAACATTTGTCAGCATGTGGTATAAAACCTTTAACAAAATGGTAAATACATTTGCTTTTTGCATAAAGTCATAGTTAACACCTCTCAAGGTAGAATTTCTGTTTCTTGGGATACTTCTAGAAATGTATTTTGTCTTCTTTGGTTAATTCTCCACTTATACGTTAAATAACCCAACAAGATGTGTTCATTTGTTTGGACTTGAAAGAGTGTTTCCTCATTTCAGGGCAGTGCTTCTGCACGCTACTGCACAAATCTACCTTGAAGGATAGAGTTTCCGCATTCATGAAGATGATGTCTGTTGGGTTAATATCATGGCTATGGATCATTTATTTTATGTGCTATCTACAATAAGAGGAATCTGACGAATATGAAATACAACTTATGAAATGCAACTTCTAAATTTATATTTCATCATTCTGTTAAAAATCAGAGATTAGAAATGCATGTGAAAACGTCTCAATGTCAATTGCTTTGGAATGAATTCTTCTGTAAGAAAAAAAAAAGTTGTGCTGTAAAGTGTTCCTTGAGAAATGTTTATAATTCTATGAGAATGTAAATAGTTTCACAGTAATTGTTTTCCAGTTAGAATATTCTAACTTAATTGCAGCACAGTCTCTTTAATTTCTTGTTCATTAATTTTTAACTAACTTCATAAAAGAATAAGAATAAAAAAATAAAATAAAAAAAATCAGATCATGCCTCTTACTTCTAAACTCACAAATAAATCTTTTAAACTTCTGAGAATGCTACCTATCATTAATTCACTGCAGACCACATGCTTCTTTTCCTTGAAGAGAAGGCCGAGTTTCCTCCTAGCCACTGAATAGAGCTGTTGCTCTGTACCCTGGCATGTACTGAAGAATAGGGTATCTAAGGAATGCATCTGCTCTCGTAGGTATTGCCTTGAAAACACATTCATTCAAAACTTAGCAAATATTTCACTGGGAAATACTCTGTGTGCCCAATGCCTGGTTATGCCACCCACACATTTCTTTCCCACACTCCCAAATGAGGTCTGATAATTTTGTGCCCTGCAAAGGCGTCTTCCACCTACATGAAATAAAGCTTTAAAATGTCATGATTTCAGCTTTCTTTAGCCTAACCTCACCACCCCTTTCAGGTATAGTTCTTAAGATAATGTTGGCATCTAATACTAAAATGAGGTTATTTTTAATCTTATCAATATTATTATTATTACTTATCAAACTTGTCCCATGTACCTCTTGAAACTGGTTATCAGGAAGATAAACACTAAATCTGGGCTTGGTTCCAGAAGGTAGGAGAACATGATGGAAAAGTTTTGTATGGCAACTTGGCCACTGGGTACTTGTTCATCATAGTCCTATACTTACTCCCTTCTGATCACTATGGATGAATTCCCTTTAAGTCAACTTATATTTTATAGTTATATAAGGTGAATGCATCAGATCTCCTGGAACTGGAGTTAAGGAAGGTTGTTAGTCTCCAAGTGAGTGCTGGGAAAGAAACTCTGGTCCTCTACAAGAGCAGTCAGTGCTCTTAACAACTGAGTTATCTTTTCAGCCCTCCTATTTTTTTTTCCTGATGTCTCATTTTAACTTAAAAATATTTTATTTATTATTTTTATTTTATGTGTATCAGTGTATTGCCTGTATGTATGCAAGTGCACCCATGTCATGCAATGCCTGAGGATGTTAGAAAAGAGCATTGGATCTCCTGGAACTGGAGTTATGGACAGCTGTTAGCAAGCCTATGGATGCTAGGAATGTAACCTGGATCCTCTGCAAAAGCAGCCAGTGCTTTTTACTACTGAGCCATCCCTTCAGACCCTTATTTCTATTTTTTTGTCTGTGCAAAATGATAATAATTATCTACATTTAAAATAATTTACAAATGATAAAACCTTTTACTGTATATTTTCATGTTAATTAGAAATTTAAATAAATGATTTACAAAACACTATTTGAGACTATAATACCTAAGATACAACTATTTTTACACTAATTTCTTCTAACTTCACATGAGCAAAAAAAAATGCTTTTTTCTCAAATCAGGAAGCTTTTGTATGTCAACTTGGTCACTGGGTACTTGTTCATCATAGTCCTAAACTTACTCCCTTCTCATCACTATGGCTGAATTCCCTTTAAATCAACTTATATTTTATAGTTATATAAGGTGAATGCTGTAGTAATGCCCAAATAATCAAACCCTAGCAGTAATTCAATGCCAAAACTTATTATGAGGTAATTTTTGAATCAGGTTCAGATTATTAATAAAATGTTATTATCTGTATTATTGTTCATGATGTCATCTTATTGCATGCTAAGCAACTTTAGTTCCTATGCAGAAAATTCTTTCACCACTGTACCCTCAAACCTGTCACATCTCATGTTTGTAAGCTTTACTGCACCCACGGGCATCTATCACCACATCTGATGCTATTTTGAAGTGTCACAACTATTTATCCATGTATCTAGACCACTTCTGAGACTGTGCTGCTTATCAATCAAACTGAATATTCAAGTATCACAGTATGTATTTATTTTCTTTTTGAGACAGTGTCCCACAAGAAACACAAGTTGGCCTTGAACTTGCATTCCTCCTGTTTCCGCCTTCTAAGAGCTGTAATTGTGTCATCACACTCAGCCCTCATTACATTTTTGTGCAGAGGAAATAGAGCAACTCTTTGTCCAACTATAATGTTAGACTCCAACCTCTGCTCAGGCCTCCAATAACAGATACCAACAGGCACCTTACTGAAACTGGGTCTGTGAGTCCTTAGCTAACAACATCATCCGGGTACCAGGATTTCTCACGTGGGAAGGCAGTTAATATCAAAGGATATATTGGCTCCACACATCCTTTCCTCATTCCCTTTCTGGTTACCTGCCTGGGAATCAGAGAGCCTGGCTACAAGCTCTTACTATGAAAACTCCCCCATTCTCAGAAAGCTGTAAGAACAGCCCTTGCTTCTTCCAAGTGGGTTCGGACTCCTCTGTTCAGAGACCTTGCCATGCTCTCTGTCTCTGGTACTGGGACCTGAACAGCAGAGCCTCCTCCATGTTGCTACTCCTGTGTCTGTCTGTTCATGACGTTAGTTAATAACTCTTCTAATAAACACCTTACTCCCCAGTAATCCCCCCATACTATTCCTCTTGAAGTGCCTCATACCCTGCAAAAATTCTAACAGTACCAACATATAACTGAGCTCTGAATAGATCTTGACTTTATAACGAAGGAGATTATTGAAGTAAATTTTGTATGGCCTCAAAAGTGAGCAAAAGAAGAAGACAAACATTAAAGAAGGATCGCACTGAGATGTCAAAGTTTCCAAATTTGGAATCAGTAGAGACAAACCAAGAACAGTGACATACATTACTTTAAATTGAATAACTGAAAAAAAAACAATATTTATTCTGAATAAACTAAATTTATTCTCCAATTTAGTTCAATATATTTTATAGTAGAAAAAAATCCTGTACTCACTGGACTCCAGAGGAGGATGGGAGCTCTCAGGAATCCGGGGGATGTCACTAAAAGAAACAGGCTAAGGTGAAAATCCCATTAGGTAAATTCCACTGCCTGTGATAATTCCTGCTCATTGTATTTCAGTGATGAAAAATCCTTTGGGATCTTTACAGATGTAGAAATGGGAGACATTACTACTTAGGTAACCACTAATGTGTATGAATGTCAGACGCCACACAAAAGAAAACTGCAATAAAAATATTTAAAGATTTAAGAGGAAAACATTTTAACATGGCAACAATCACACTAATATTGTGGATAAAAATCACCACAATATTTTTACTACCAAAACAGCAGGTTTTGGAAATTAAAAAATGTTAAAGGTAATACTTTATTTCAATTCTAAAAAATCAAAATGACACAAATTTTACAAATCAGTAATATGCTTTACAAACACACCTGAGAGTTTACTGAATGACAGGGATGGAGACTACCTCTTCATAATAAAATGAAATGATGAATATCGTGGGCAAACAAAAGAGGATGAATTGCTTTGGAAATTAAAGATGATTCAAGCTTGCAACAAAAAAGCCAAAACTTCACATAAATGTGCATACAATATATACACAGCACATATATATGCAAATATATACCCTTTATAGAGATTAATATCTGCTCTGAAGTTTGCTAAATGTATGGATATTATATTACATGGTTAGAATGTGAACTTATGAGAACACCCACTCCTGCCACACTCACAAATTACTCTAAAGAAATATTTATAATCACTTCTGCTTAATCCATTATCCACTGAGACCTTAGTATCACTTAAGAACCCTAGATAGGTAATCTGATTTGGGTGTTGTGCTGTGTAAAACTATTTTGCTTCACCTTTTCCAAAAACATTTTAGCAACACTTTAAGGAGATTAATAATATGCAAGCATTAAAATTACATATTAAAGTAGACTGGATCTATTCTCAACAGAATTAGCAGCATATTAGTTAGTTTTAATCACTTACCTTATAACCTAAATATAATTTGATTTTTAAAAAAATGTTTTCTATTTGTTTGCTCTTTAAAATAATATTTTATTTCTTATTTCATGTGTATGAGTGTTTTGACTACATGTATGTATGTGCACCATGTGCAGGAGTGCCCACATAAGCCAGAAGAGTGCCTCAGATCTCCTGGAACTGGAGTTAAGGAAGGTTGTTAGTCACCAAGTGAGTGTGGGAAAGAAACTCTGGTCCTCTGCAAGAGCAGTCAGTGCTCTTAACAACTGAGTTATCTTTTCAGCCCTCCTATTTTTTTTTCCTGATGTCTCATTTTAACTTAAAAATATTTTATTTATTATTTTTATTTTATGTGTATCAGTGTATTGCCTGTATGTATGCAAGTGCACCCATGTCATGCAATGCCTGAGGATGTTAGAAAAGAGCATCGGATCTCCTGGAACTGGAGTTATGGACAGCTGTTAGCAAGCCTATGGATGCTAGGAATGTAACCTGGGTCCTCTGCAAAAGCAGCCAGTGCTTTTTACTACTGAGCCATCTCTCCAGACCCTCATTTCTACTTTTTTGTGTGTGCAAAATGATAATTACCTACATTTAAAATAGTTTACAAATGATAAAACGTTTTACTGTACATTTTCATGTTAATTAGAAATTTAAATAAATGATTTACAAAACATTATTTGAGACTATAATACCTAAGATACAACTATTTTCACACTAATTTCTTCTAACTTCACCTAACCAAAATAGAATTCTTTTTTTCTCAAATCAGGATGGATCATCTTTTATATAGTTCGGATTCTTTGAAAAGCGTACACAGTCAATTATAAACTCAGAAATATGGAACTCTGGAGCAGGCTACTGATTTTGAAATTCATGTGTTATAAGAATGAAATTTGCTTTAAAAATCTTAAGTGATTTTGAATAAATATTTACATAACATTAATTGCTTCCACAATATTTCCATGCACAAATTTTACTTGTTCATATAAATTTTCTTAATTATTTCTATGCACAAGTATGTGACAAGAGTAGTTTTTTGTTTAGTTAAAGGTTTTATGTGTATGTGTGCTTCCCTGCATGAATTTATATGCACCAGGTGTATGCAGAAGCCCAGAACACGGTGTTGGATAAATTGGCACTGGAGTTGAAAGCAGTTGTACAACTCCCTGTGGGTGCTTGGAACCCGAACCCTGGTCGTCTCTAAAAACAGTAAGTGTTCTGAACCACTGAGCTGTTCTCCAGTCCTACATGATAGTAAATAATTATTATGGTTACCAATTATAATGATAAAGAGCAAAGGTATTGTATTTTGTGGTTTCACCTAATACTGAATACTGCAGATAGCTTATGCCTTCAGTCTGTAACAAACATGGTCCTATGAGTTTTATTTTACATGACTCCTGAAATCATTATATCATTAAATTATAGATAAGTATGTGCTCTAGACTTAAAGGTAATTACATTTACTGAATAGAACTACATTAAACATTATTATTAAAATATAACTAGAATTATTCTATCAATGTCTAGGTTAGCTTTGACTTTTACACAAACACAATGTTTTTATTCAGTATTCCTTTGAATTACATAATCCATGATAATTTAGGGTTTGGATACCTAGATTATTACTTTGAAGGTAATATGAATACAAACAAACATATAAGTAGTGCATTCTTTTCCCAGTCTACTTTAATTGTCTGGAGTGGTCTTAAGTCATGGTAATCATTTCTTTACCTAATTATTCTAAAAGCACCGTGTATATCTAAAATACTTAGCTATACCCACAGTGCTTGATTTTAAATTTTATTTTTATACTTTTCTCAATTTACTTATCTCTTTTCCAGTCACATATGTCCCTAATTACTCGAACGTATGCCATGTAAAACTAGCACAAATTATGATGCTATTTTAAAAATCTACATGGAAACATATAATACTTTTGGAAATGTCTTCAATGTTTCATCTTGGTTATTAAAACTGGTTATAAGCTTTTTCTTTTTTTAGAGTTTTATATATTAATATTCTTTGAAATAAGATTATATATTTCATTTTATCAGTATTAGGATGATTATATTTTCTTGGATGTCTGACATATATTCATGGAAACAATAGAAATTAGTTATCAGTTTTCAACATAAAATATATCAGATTAATAGCTTTAACACTATCTTGGAGAATAGAAAGAAAAAGTCATTCCCAAGAATAAATTCAAACAGTAAGCACACTACAGTGACATAGTTCAAAATGCCTACTAGAAATTATAGAATGGAAAGATCAATATTTACTGAATTTATGGGGTTTGTTTAAAAAGTCTAACACTATTCGGAATTATGGATAGATACAGAAAACATTCTGTTGGCTGTAGATAATTGAAAGATGTTAAAAACTGAAGTTTTTAAACTATCATACCAATTATTATAACAATTCAAAAATCTGATTATTTAATATTTCTTGTTTGCTTTTAAATAAAGCTAGGAGCATAGTTTCATAAGTATATGGAAAAATATTTCCCCTTTGAAGAGTAATAAAATGTACACAGAGACATATGATATCATTACTAATTTAAATACTACAAGAAGATGGATTGACTAATTTATTCCCTAAAGGAAATGTTATTGATTAATTTAGGATTACTAACAATAAATAGTCTTTCACTAAAATACAATACTTTCATTATATTTCACTTGTGAAAAAAACACATCAATAATTTTTTTATACTATTATGTTCTGGAGCTTCTAAAATGTACAGAAGAAAATTCAGTATTCTAGTTTGAAAAGTAAAATTTTTAAGCCTAATAAATATGCCCCAATAGATGGAAAAAAACTATCCATGTTAACATGTACTGTATGAATGTATAAACTTCTTTTTAAAACCTTGCTAATACACGTAATTTACTAAACTTAAGAAGTAAGTTTTTTTTAGCCTTACCCAATAGGCCTTGAAACAATAATTTCAACTTGAGGTTCTGATTTTGATTCTAAAATAATGTTGTAAACTTCTTCATTTGTAGCTCCGGGCAGGGGTTTACCATTCCACTCTAGAACTTCATCCCCTTGAATTTAAAAAAAAGGGCATTTTTTTACCTTATGTATTTTGTTTATTTTTTCTTATCTTTTCTCTTTTTTAACAAAGAAATGCAAACCATATACAAATAGTTGAATTTTCAAGGTTCTGCTCTCAAAAGCAAAATGACCTTCAGAGAATGTGAGCTAAATGGTTCTAACCCCCTTTATTTATTTATTTATTTTTGCTTTGTTTTTCCTCCCCAAATATTACTGGCCACTAAAAATAGTCCAATACAAAACTGCCTTAATTTTTAGATATATCAGAAATAATATAGAAATAATCTCTTGCTATGGATGGAAATTAGCACAGTCTATTTGGAAACATTAAAAATGATTAGTCACATGCCCTCCATAAAGTAAATGTAGTTGCCTTTGTATGTGGAAGTCTTATTAAACAGCATTCATTTTGTTTTATTTTTTATCAAAAACAACACAAACTTTCTAGTATCATTTTTCAAACTATAAATCAGGCTTCATTGTCTTCTTCAGATGCACAACAGAATAAAAATGCATGAAAGGATTTGGATTCATATCCATAGGTAGCACAGGTAGCTATGGCAGTTACAAAGCAAGCAGATGTAAAAACTGTTGCATGACAGTTAACCCACTTCCAGATGCTCAAAACACATACATTCTATACATAGTATGTATACTGAATATTAAAGTAACAATAGGAAATGTTTGAAACAATAAAGAATTAACACAGTACTGCTTATGTTGTGAAACAGTCCAAGAGCAGTGAAGGACAATGATTCCCCACCAAAAAAAAAAAAAAAATTAGACAACTGAGAGTTGTTATTTTAGTTATAGTTTTTAGCTATAGATTACTTGGAGAGAAGTGTTTAATAACATTACACACTTTAAGGTAGATATAAATATAAAGTCTAAGTTTAGGACCAAGTCATTTTTATAACAAACAGAAAAAAAATACTGGAATTATTTTGAAGTATTTCTTCTTCTTTTCTAAAAATTTGTTTCTGTAAAAGAAAAAGCATGTGTACTGCTTTGGTTTAGTAAAGAAAAACAATGTGGTTATTATCAATAATTTTAAAAGTTCTAATAATTTCAGAAAAGAAGTTATACCCAGAAAGTTTTTTCATATACACAAAAAGTATATTTCACTGATAAGAAAAAAAGGGAAAGAAAATAAATACACATTTGTGAGTAGCATTTTTAAAAATCTGACAAAAAGGAATAAAATTTAACATCACAATTTATCATGTGTATAAAACTTTAACACGTATACAT